GCGAATCATTCTCAAGAACACGAGCAACAACAGTACCAACATGGATATCATCAGCAAAGACATAGGCCAAATTCCGAGTCGGAAGAAGAAGACTATTCTGGAAGAGGACAGCGGTACTCAGATGTGGAATTGAGACGGAGAAGACGACAAGCAGGAGGGAATGAGAGTGGGAGCGGAGGACGAGGCGACGTGGAACAGCGGAATCGTGATGTTTCTAGAGACCCTTCAGCAAATGCTCCTGCCTCTTCCACGACGGTGCTTTTTGAGAATGCGGACGCTGCGTCAGCGTCTACGTTATCCACCGCATCGGGTCTTACCGAATACACAACCGAAACCGTCAGTCCTGCTTCTTCTAGGGATTTGGAAATTCCCATGATCGATATGACAGCCGATGACGATGATTTTGCTTTCTCTGACACAACAAATAATAATGATTCACAGAAGGAGAGTAGCCTGGCAACATCGATTATGCAAGGGGAACTCAGAGGAACCGTAGGAGAGGCGACATCGCCCACATTTTCGTACACATCCGTTTCCGCCTCGAATTTGGAAGGAACTAGCTCAAGCATGGAGGCTGCTTCTCCCGAGCCTGATATGATTAGTTTCACGACACCTATTGACACTGTTCCGGAAGCACCTGGTGCCATTCATGAGAAGAATGAAGTGGGGATATCCGACGTAGAAATGCTCTCTAGTTATACATCCGATACGGTTACTTCTCCCTCCTTTTCGTACGCATCATTTCCGGAGGAACGCTTGTCGCCGGAGTTACCCCTTCTGGATATCGACATGCCCATTCCCAGCGATAGCGAGCAAAGTCCATCGCATAATGGGCAAGCTCTCGCGCATGAAGCCGAACCTGACCGCCCGACCGAACAGCAAATCGAATCTACACTACTCGAAGCTTCACAGTACCACAGCGCTCTGTCACAACCCACGTCGCCTTCGTTTTCCTTTACATCCGTTTCCGAACCGCGATCCCCTGCATTAGCTTCTCTCCCGGACCTCACTTCTTTACAAATCTCCGCATCCATGTCTTTGGCTTCCTCGGTCGATAGCGATGAACAAGGTGTTTCGCCAGATATTCCTTCCATCAAAAGCGACAACATGTCCGTCACATCTCCAACACTCTCGTATGCGTCGCTTTCGTTGAGTGAGGATGGTGGGTTTGAGACAGATATGGAGTCGCATGCCACCGAGGATTCGTGGACTGTAGTCGATGAGTAATTTTTGGGAAGAACCTCCTGTAACCATTTTTGATATGTATGTTTGTTAAGGCAGTCATATGCGCCGACCATTCCCCGAGTGAATTTGATTGTATTATATTTGTGCTTCATTTCCCATTAAACGTCGTTGCTACCATGTCCGTGCTGTTTTCAATATCCGATTACTCTTAAGTGCTGGAGCGTTCAATAACCATGGGGCAGAGCACAGACAACCAGAAAATATACGGATTTGATAGATAGATAGATATTCTTTCAATAGATACATAACCACGCTTTCATATCGCCTACACAAGCAGTTACGCATGAGGTCTTCCATTAATGCGCCGAAGCGCACATGAATTTCAGGGCTAGGCATGAGGTCTAATTTCTAATTGTCGAACTTTGCTCAAGTCCCATTCCACTTTCCAAAAAAATAGATTCTCCATATATACAGACGTCTCTCTCACGAGGCCATCAGGGTCAAACACTCCCGGTTCGCCGTCGCCCAAACCCGTCTAGTTCACTCAGCAACGTCTCGATATGTGATTGTGCCGAGCTGGTGCTGACGGTCACGGACCGTGATGGCTGGGCGACGCTCTTGTTAATGTCTTCGTTAAGCTCGGCGATTTTGGCATCAAGGAGCGAGAGGAGACTGCTTTTGGAGGTGGTGGATGTTGTTGGGGATGTAAGTTGACGGGAATATGCTTGTGGTGAAGAGGATGTGCTGGTTGATGGAGAGGTAACAAATTCAACGGTTCGAACTTCTTGGTGCGTTGACTGTACGCGTATTGCAACGGACGGCAATGTTGATGACGATGCTAATGATGATGATAATGATGATGTTGTGGTTGCAGCTGTGATGCTTGTAAAACTGTCCGCGTCGCGGGACTTGTCATCAATGCTTAACGTCTCTAACCATCCTTTGATCAACAGCTGGGTGTCTGGCTTGGATTCCTTTGATGATGGACTGGTGAGTGCATTCGCTGACGACGACGCATCCGAAAAGGCACTTGCAGTCGACGTGACGGACGCGGTCGAGTGGGTACGCATCGGCACGGCTGCTGGTAGCGTTGTGCGCACATCATTGTGATCGAACGAGGAACGACGACGGTATCCAATTGCGGGGGACAAAGATAATGGGGGTGGGGATAGCGGTGATGCCAACTGTGCTGGATGCGAGGGCACTCGCGCAGATGGGGCATTCCCCGTCGACGGTTTCCGTTGTGAAGGATGCCCAGTGGGCAAGACAGCATTGGAGAGGAGACACCCTTGTAACAAGTCAAGGAATTCAAGCGGGTCCTTTGAGTCGTCGGTAAAGAATCCAGGAAAGTGGGCCGCATCTCCGTCGCTCTTCCGTTTTGGTAGGTGTTCATAGCCAATGAGGGCGGTTGTCGTCAGAGCGTTAGCGGAGCGGGACCGTCCATGATCTCTGAGCACTCCCAGTTGCCTTGGTTTAGAGTTGTTGAGGGTTGGCGATGGCAGCGGGTTTGAGCCGGTAATTGCCATGCTGACAGTTGTGGAAATGCGTAGTATGCTTTGCAGATGCTGATGATGCCAATAACTTGATGCGAATGAGGTAGTAAGAGTTGAACTGGGGTAAGTGGTAGAACGCCTTTGCTTTCCTATAAGTAAAGTCGACAGTACATCAATAGCGGCATGCTTAGTCTCCGCTTTGTGTGTCTTCGCTCTTTGTCCGGCAGTACAAGACAGCGATCAAATCTCGGCAAATCCAAGCGCTTGCATTCAATTCTATCCGATTCAGGCTAGCGGTTGCTGTCGGGAAGCGTCGGCTAGACAGGAGGTAAGTGGGGTGGAGGGTATCCTGCGTAGTACTGTGTGCTGTGTTGCTCTGGTCAATGCTCAAAAACAAAAAACACAAACAACAAAACACCGGCCGCAGAAAGACAAGGTGCGACGCACGCGGCCTTGCAACGTCGTCCGAAGCGGCTCACTCGACAACGACCCTAATAATCCCACGCCAATTCCCCGTTCAATACAATAATTCCCTGGTTATCATATGCATCGTTGCTATTCTGGGATTGTCCGTTGTATTCAAGGAAATCGCTCCACAACTTTCGGAAATCCGGGGGCGTCCAAGACCCTGAGCAGCCAACCGCGTATTCTCTTTCTCGACTGGCAAAAGGACGTTATAAAGTGCAACCGACGGAAGGAGTGATGCACCCGGTCACTGTGGAGAATGGAGAAACTCATCATTATCCTCGCAATGTGTTGCGCCTCAGAATTCAATGTTCGGTGAAGCCCCTACGATTGGCGAAATTAAAAACGCCACAAGCATGAATCAAGACTATGAGTGCATTGCTCCGAGTGTGTACATCTTCAATTCAAGGCCGGAAACGAATGAGCGAGAGCTGTTCTTGATGTTCGTTCAACGCTGGTGCTTGCCATCAAATGCCCACCAGTACCATGTTTTGACAAGTGACTTTTGCGCACATGTCGTTGCATCCAGTACCATGCACAGGATGTGACTGACATACACAGGGGTGGCACTATAACGAGCCCAAGTGGACCCGACGATGAACTATCGATTGATTGCAATGATCCTACTTGATGACTGGGTTCGAGGAGTTGTATTTGATATCTCGACGAGAACACGCTATTGTGGACGAACCTCGCAGCAGGTGCCAACCAGTGTGACGAGCAACAGGTACTCAACATTTGAGACTTGCGACCATGCGCCGCCGGTTTGTGGAGCAATGATCCACTGGACGAGATCGTGGTACCCGGAATATACGAAAAGGTTGTGCTGCTTTTGAATTGGCCCACGATGCATTGGACTTCACTTCAACATATTGGATTTGCGCGGATTTTGCGAAACAAGTTGCGAAACGCAAGATCTTTACCTACACCATGAATCCACACACTGGGGCGAGTTTGGCACGAGCCGCCAACGTTAACTGGATATCTGGTCACTTCCTTGCAAGACCTGCCGTGATTCCTTCATGCACAACTATAATACCCTCACACCCACCCGCGAGAGGTTGCCACTGATGGTGCCAAACGCGGCATAATGTGATTCGTTAGCGACTTTGAAAGGTGAGCATTAGGAGGATGGGCTTGAGAAAACATGATTGTACGAAGTACAGCCACTATCCCGTCCCGCCCCGACAGCAGGATTGATGAAGTACAAGTATTGTTTGGAAGTGATGGAGAGCGAGTAATACCTCGGCACACTTGTGCCGTTTGCACCTTCGTTCGGGCTCTGTAGGCCCTTTAAACGGAAAATGCCGCTGATGGGATAATTGCTATTACATCTGGGGGGTGTACGGGGTGTACGAGAGCATTCCAAGGTTCAACGGCAACCCCACCCAGGAGGAGGTTCAGAGCGAGAACGCCTTGGACCAGCTTCAACATCACTGAATCTGCCGTTTTCCGTGGCCTCCGATCGCGATCATTCATTTCCACTTTTGTTATTCCGCCGTTCCAAGAGCTTATTCTATCATCAACCTGTCAGTTGAACTCATCTTTTATCCGCCATGCCAAGGCAGCTCAGAGCACGCAAGCACCTTCACTCCACGCTTATCAGACATATCAGACGATTGCCCATTTGAGCGGCAATGGTTGGACGTTTGGCTTAATTTAAAGTGCCACGAGGCGCACACGATGAAGGACATCGAATGAGTCAAAAGAACACCGGCCCTCACATGAATGGGCTTTGCTCTCTTCCTTCTAGGCTCCATGACCTTTTATTTGTCCTTCGGTTGTTCAATGAAGCTGATGCTGGCTCGTTGCCAATCCCTTCATGAACGTTAATAGTGGCGAAGGATAAGGCAAAAACGATCCCGGCGCGGATCGAACGCGCGACCTCACCCTCCGGAGGGGTAAATGCAAGACCACTACACCACGGGACTGTCGAAGTTCAAACAGGGTGCAGCAATATGTGTTCGGATGCTTGCAACTGTTTCCATTGCTGGATCCCATGTAGCGATTAGGACATGCTAAGTTTTTTTTTGATCGATATTGATTCCCAATCTCAAGACAACTGTCCATGCTGTGATGAAGTATGGAATTCCCAGCAAATGAATTTAATGAGTGGACACGCCGCCCGGAAAGTGTAAAATATAATAACGCCGGCGGGATTTGAACCCATGTCTGCCAAGTGGCTTATTTAGGGTTATGCGCGCCACGGAGACGCGTTTGCGGCGTGGGATAAAGTTTCAAAGAACAATCTGCTGGACGGATGTGAAAGTTGGGAAAAAGGCCGTGAGAAAGTGTAAGTGGGTTAGGCTTTCGTATCATCCGGGCGATATAGTGCAGCCACGACATACCAGCAGGCACAACAGAGCAGAGCAGACCAGGGAAAGGGAAGAAGGAAGAGAAGAAAGGAAGGTGGATAGCAGGCCTTGTGGAAAAGCTGTGATCAGCGAAGCGAGCTCAACGACCGAGAACACTTCCAAGACAGATTTCGAGGAAACGGAGATGAACGCTTGATGCGCAAGTAGATGACAGGTGGATGATCATTGTCAAGGCACCAACCGTCATTGATAGAGTAGATTATTCCTCATTAGCGATTTTTGGGAAACTGGACGTACTGAAGCCTAAAGCACCATCATCTTTCAACAACAACACATTAATATGGTGTGGAAACGATTAAGAGAGAAGGGGATCTGCTCCCTACTGCTTGCTGCTGCGTGTGTGTTCAAGACCGCAAATGCCCAAGCTGGTAAGAAGAGTGTCCGCGCGATGGGTTATGTCGAAGCTCAACTCAACACTTTCATGCATCGTAGAGCCATTTGACTTTAGCCTCTCCAGCAACGGAGTATGGCCCCATGGCTCCACCCAATCCATAACGTTTGTTCTGCAAAGCAATATCATCAATACGCTGTTTGTCGAATCCGTTACCATCCGTGCCGGCACAGCATCCCTCATCACTTGCGCGGACCAAAAGTTTTCTGACGGTCAGGTTAACAACGCACGATGTGGCACCGCCGTCTGCACCACTGTTGCTTGTGCAGTTGTGATTCCGCCCAATTTCCCGAGTGTCACAACCATAGATATTGCCGCCAGATGGAAGGACTGTAGAGAAGTGCCAATCACCGGGACAGCCTCACCATTTTGCGATACGGTGACAAGTCAAAAGGCCGTGCGTGTGCTCTTGGGTGATGCTGCCGTCTCGACAACAGCCAGTGCAACATCAACAACCGAAGCGACCTCCACAGCAGCATCACCAACACCCTCAAGGCCACCGGCATTAACAGCCACACCATCGCCCGCTAACAAAGAGGAAGAAACCTTTGATAACTCCAGCGGCACATCCGTCGCCATCATCATTGGTGCCATCATTGGCGCAATTCTCGTTGTGGGGTTGATTGGTGGCATTTACTGGAAATACTTTCGTCACAGGGACGACATGGCGCCATCAGAGTCGCTGGCGTATCTTGGTCGCCCGCTTACTCGCAAGTACACAGCTGGAAGAGGCGGGCCCGCTGTCGCACCGAGTACGCTATCGAGTGCGGATCCAGAAATGAACACCGCGAATAGTATGGCGCCATTGCAAGACATTCGGTACGTCCCACCGCTGGCCTCGGCTTACGAACCCCTAACTCGACCAACGAGCCCACCTGTCGCAGCTGCGCCTGTGGGTGCGCCGGTCCCGCCTGCCCGGATTGATAGCGGTCTGCGAGTTGTGCCCAGTGGGTTGCCCAGTGGGCTACGGGTCGTTAACCCCGACGAAAGAAAATCGTTCGTTTCATGACGATAGATTCAGCTTGACCTCTAGTGGTTTCGGACAGATATTTGATTGTTGCACGCTATATAGACTGTTATAGGTTTTAGATAGATGTCACGGCATTGTTATATAGTAGATCCATGCACGATTAGACTTAATTGGCAGTAATCAAAAGAAAGATCCGTACAGAGACGTTCATGATAGCATACTTGGCCGCTTATGGTGCAGATAGAAATGATGTCTTTTCTGATGAGGTCCACTACGTCCATATTTAACATAAGAGATATTCACAATGGAAACAACGCCCGTCTTTAAGCGTGCTTCACTTTGATATACCGAACTACCTCTGTCCCGTCCTCCAGAGTATTTCTCTCCGCCACAATACTATATCCTCCGAACTTGGGTAAGATGTGCTTCCAGAACGCCCAATACACGGCACCGAGAACTAGTACCGATACACCCACAAGCGGGAACACATAGTACGGGTAACTCGTCGTCTCCTTGATTGGGGGGATGAAAGGCACGACAGCAAGGAAAATGTTGCTTAGAAGAAAGAGGAATGTCACCGGGAAGTAGGAGTGATATGGCGACGACCAATTCTCCGATTTACGGTAATGAAGGTATATCAGGCCAGCGGCCACAAACGAATTGATCCATGCTCCGGGGTATGTGTACAAATCGACAATGAACTCATACGCTTCACCGGGTGGCGGCGCGAACAGGACAATGACTGTGACGAGCCAATGCAAGAAGAGCGACGCGGCAGGTGCGTTGAAGGGCTTGTTGCTCGCAAAGAATTTACTGAACGGTAGCATCCCTTCTTTGGCAAACTCTTGGTTGACGCGACTGTGAGCAAATGACACTGCCAAGACGTTGCCAAGATTGCTGATGGCAACAAAGGCTGGAAGGGCTTTGGCTCCTGCGGTATCGCCAAAAACGTTCCGGAAGAAAAGCCCCGCGACAATGACACCAGACTCGGCGAGCTCCGCTTTCGGAATGGCAGCGAAGTATGCTACGTTCGCCAAAGTGTAGAGAACGGTAGCGCCTGCCACCGCACTAGGGGCAGCAATGGCGAGGGTCCGCTTGGGGTGCTTAATCTCGCCGAGAACGTAATTTGCGTTCTCCCAGCCTTTGTAGCTGTATACAATCCTCAAGAGAGCTGTTGCGTAGTTATAGACGCCTCCGCCGATACCATCGTGCTGAAAGGCGTTCGTGAAGTTGTCCGGTTTGTCAATTTTCAGGTTTCCAGCGAGTGCGGCGAACCCAGAGAAGACGATAAATAGGAGGACAATCACTTTGAAGACGCCGAGGATGTTGAATAAGCGCATACCCGTTCGGGGAGAGATACTGTGAAGGAGAACGGCAAACGTTATGCAGGCTGTGGCGAGACCCTAATGATCTGTGTTAGTGCCGGCTCACTCGCTTGTAGACGATACTGCAATCTGCACTCACTCTCGCAGTCCATTGATCAGGATCATCCACCCCAGCTGCAAATAGTACGTATCGTCCAAACGCCAACGCATTTCCTGCACTGAATCCCAGGAGGACCATTTGACTCAAGAATACAGACGTTGCGAGATACTTTGGTTTCTGGTAAACTCGTTCGAGATAGTTCTTCTCACCGCCGCTGAGCGGTATCTGCAGCCCAAACTCCAGATAAACGCTTAAGCCGGAAAATGTCAGGATACCGCCAATGATCCAGAGGAGGATCGAAACCCCGACGGAGCCGGTAGATTTGTACACTCCAGATGGAGTGGAGAAAACTGACGGCTCAGAAATGAATATCGGGTTACAGTGAGCTCATAAGCGTAGAAACTTACTTCCAGTCCCAATCATCTTGTTGACGATCACGAATACACTTGACGTGATTCCGAGCTTCCTTCCATCAAACTTGAATATCCCTTCTTCTTTAACTTCTTCATTGACTGTATTGAAGCCTTCATCGCTTTTGCTATTGGTGAAAGGAGCCTTATCCTTGCCATCCAGGTCGGTGCCGGAAGCAGTTCCAGAGGAAACGCTAGTGTCGGGCATTGGAGAGCTGGCCGGCGTGGATTAAGAAGGGCGGTGGGGCGGAGGAATGAAGTTTGAGGCAACCAATTCCGGCAAGCCCAGGTAGAAGTACGGCGATATCCCTGTCATCTTAAATACGCCGGCTCGGTCATCCATCCTCAACAATTTGGGTTCTGCGCCATTTTGCACCGCTATGGGGTATCACCCCGGGTGTTGTAATTCAAGTGTTGCTGAGAGTGTGTCAACCATTCCTCAAGCTGTGAACCTCTCGAGTTCTCGTCATCACCTGCAGGGATTGCGGAATCAAGAGTTCAGCAGAGCACGATTAGAAGTTTTTATTTTCCCGCAATCGTGGTAAACGCCCAGGAACCTTAATTAACCTCTTTTTGGTCGTGGATTTCCCTGTTCGCGCGTTCAAAATGGACAGCGCCGGGTCAACAGCATGATCAGATAAGGACGTTCGGAGCACGCAACTCGCACGATGCGCAATTTGCAGAATGATAAATTGCCCGTCACGGTCGCCACTGCGTCTCGGTGAAAAAAGCGGGCGTTTAATATTCACTCTGGACTGCTGCTCGTCTGCTCAGGATTATCCTCATGAACTTGGCCTGCGCCAGTTGGAAAGCGCTCGGCGAGGAGATTCCATAAATCCAGTCTTTCAGCTTCCCCAATCTTGGTTGACATCGCGAAGAATACATGGGCGCTGAAGGTAAATGCAGAATCAGCCTTTATTAAAGTACTTAAAAAATGGTATACAAATGAAATATAGAAAAACTAAAACTTGAAGTTCAAAGACTAGTAGTTCATCCCTTTCTTTACCCAGTGCTTGATTTCCCGTTTTTCTTGTACGAGAGCACAAGGCGTACAGAAGATATGCGTGCAAAGATCGCCGCACGAGTCTCCACGGATATTATACTTTGCTCTGATCGTTGTTCGCGCACCACCTCCCAGACATGCATTGAATCCACACATAGCACTCAGGAAATACATCATACAGTCGCCGGCTGCAGTGGACCTGTTATTCAGGTTGCGTTTATTGACCCCATACTGTACGCATGGACAGCAAGCGGCCGGGACAAGGGTGTCGCAATCGTCCGTACAATCGAAAAGACCGTGCTCCCAGTCCTTTGGTGGTGGTCGGTAGGGTTGTTGACTTACTACCACCACGGAAGT